CAATACGTGGGTAAAATATTGGCACGCAATTCTGTTACACCCTGTATTATACAGGATGCTATAGAATATATTCTATGCATATACGGACTGCTGGCATTTATGTTTTTACTGCTTAATATAAGCCCATTCTCTGAGTTTTTGACATTTCTCTCGAAGGGAGTCTCTGAGTAGCGAAACATTCATTTCCCCATCATTTTCGACAAGAGTTCATCTCACGGACATGAGACTTGTCTTATGTTTCTTAGAAAATGCATTTCCGTTCGAATCACTTCACAGATCTATATTTTTTTTTAACCTATAGTACACGCAAGAGACGAATATGGAAATACAGCTCTGCATAGAGCTGCTCAGGATGGTAATTTTGGACATTCATGTTTTAGAAGAATGTTTTGTTCAATCCGTTTTATTAATCTATATTATTTTTTAGGTGATTTGAAGGAAGCACAAAAGCTCATCGCTGAAGGAGCCATTTTAGATAGTAAAAATAATTTTGGAAGTACACCTCTCCATTCAGCTGCTTTCGAGGGTAATTTTGTTATCATGATTGAAAATACATTAAAATAAGCTATTAGACCGTGTGTTGACTGAATTTTCTGTTCAAATTAATTCTTCGTTGCTTGTGTAGAAAGAATAGATTGATCTTTTTCATCGACTTGAATTATTTTTCAGGGCACAAAGATGTTGTTAAACTTCTCATAGGCAAAGGGGCCAATCTTGATAGTATAAATAATTTCGGAAGTACACCTCTTCATTTAGCTGCTGAGAATGGTAATTTTGAATACTTATTTTTGCTATTGTTATCATGATTGAAAATACATTGTAATAAGCTATGAGACCGTGTGTTGACTGAATTTTCTGTTCAAATTAATTCTTTGTTGCTTGTGTAAAAAGAATAGATTGATCTTTTTCATCGACTTGAATCATTTTTCAGGGCACACAGATTTTGTTAAACTTCTCATCGGCAAAGGGGCCAAACTTGATAGTAAAAATATTTCTGGAAGTACACCTCTTCATTATGCTGCTGGGAATGGTAATTTTGAATACGTGTTTTCACTAAATAGGAAATTAGTTTGATATTTTTCATCAATTTAAACTAATTTTTAGGTCACGGAATTGTCGCTAAGCTTCTCATACATGGAGGAGCCAATACTGGTATTAAAGATAATGCGGATCGTGTACCTTTTCAATGTGCTGCTCAGAATGGTAGGGCCAATGACTAAATAAGAAATCGCTTTGATCTTTTCCATTGATCTTTATTATTATTGCTCAGGTCACGATGATGTTGCCAAACTTTTTATCGGTAAAGGAAACAAAATTAATATTGAAGAGCAATTGGAATAGATTCAATATGCTGCCAACAATGGTAATGTTGTGCATTTATTCTCACTAAATAGGATATTGGTTTGATTTTTTTTGATCGATGTGTATTTTTCAGGTGAACTAATTCAGCTGAATAATTGGATTATTTCTTTCAGTTCCCGTATTCAATTGTAGTGTAGCATATATATCAGCCCTTTTGGTCAGCAGTTAGACAATTTAATGAAAGAAAATCAGAATATGTTAATAATGTAGAAAGAAACAAATATGTAAAAGCAATTAAAGATAAGCGACAATTGAAAAGGATCTGTATTAGATCAATAACTAATAAATAAATAAATAAATAAAATATTAATTTTAATACTTTTTTGTCAATCTTTAACCATGCCGATATTGTTGCTTTGTTGGAACATCGGTTTTTAGAAGAAAAAAAAAACAGCTCAAAGTTTTTAAATTGCTCACGGTATTGAATTGTTTTCTCCTGGATTTGTGCAACTCTAAACGTACTGAATGTGAAACGCGATCTGAATAAGTGATATCTCGTAGGTGACCATCGGCGATGATACTTTTTATCAAACAAAAATTGCGCACTTCAATCAATCAGTGCAATGGCTCTCCATCACATCCAAATCGAATATTTGTTGAAGAAATCCAGCAAATTCTGTCGATAGATAACATTACGTCGATCACCAAATCGAATTTCAATAAAGATGTGCCCACACGCTTCGTAATTCACGGATTTCTCGAATATAATGGTAAATTGAAACGAATCATCAATGATGATAGGTGTAAATCAGATGAAAAACCTCTAGACGAGGTTAAAATGGGGTGACGCTCCTGTGCGTGGATTTACTGAAATGACTGATATCATTTTGAGTGACGCTAGGACGCTGGTTTATCTCTGGATACAAAGTTCAAAAGAATTTTTCGCATTCACTATTGTGAAAATTTACTCACAATAAGGAAAAATATCTTGCCTCACGACTTTTGGACAACAAAACGCTTGAAAACTTGATCGCTTGAAAACGCGATATTTTTCCTTATTGTGAGTAAATTTTCACAATAGTGAATGCACAGACGAAAAAAACCTTTGAATCAAACCTAGGGGCTAGGAACAAGTTGTGAGATTCACATAGATTCGCATATATTCATGCGTTCGTGGCTTTATTATTGTTGTTGTACACTCACTGCGCTGCGAATGTCCCGTATACACAATCACACGAATTCACAAATATTCGTACGGATTCGTCTCAAGCGCTTGTGTTATTACCCCCTAGAATCAAACAAAGAAATACGTCTAAAATATGACGTTAGTAGGTTTCCATCCAATATTCTCATATAATGACAGGAATCCTACTAAACAACACACATACGCATGTACAGTCATTGGCGCATACACAAACGTCATAGATGAGTTGACGTTTGTGTATGTGCCAATGACTGTACAATGTACATTGTACATGCGTATGTGTGTTGTTTAGTAGGATTCCTGTCGTTATATGGGAATATTGGATGGAAACCTACTAACGTCATATTTTAGACGTATTTCTTTGTTTGATTCAAAGGTTTTTTTCGTCTGTGTGCGAAAAATACTTTTGAACTTTGTATCCAGAGATAAACCAGCGTCCTAGCGTCACTCAAAATGATATCAGTCATTTCAGTAAATCCACGCACAGGAGCGTCACCCCATTTCAACCTCGTCTAAAGGTTTTTCATCTGATTGTATTTTCTAAAAAAAAAATTAATGAACATTTACAAATATACACGGTTTTTGACCAATTTATTCAAAATCAATCCGAAGTGTAGCTTATTAACTAAACGTGCAAATTGGCTTATCAACTAATCAATCTTGTCACGCCCAAGCCATTTAATTATTGCCAATGTCAATGGAAACGGCATTGGTATTAATTTGCTGTGTGTCGCTTTTGGTGTTCGAACATCGAACGATGCAAAATAAATGAAGAGTAAAAAAGTAAATAAACTCGATAATATTCAATGCTGAAATGCCCAAGTATAGTCCAAGTAAACCACCACAAATGGCCAGAAAATCCGGGAACGTATATACTTCGAGGCGTTTTACTCTTTCCACACTTTGACCTCCAAAGAAAATTGATAATTTTGAGATTTGCCTCAACTTATGATTTGATCTGTTTTTGGATTATTTAAGCGGAAAATTTGCATTGAAATTCGATTTGAAATGATTTTGAAACAAAAAAAAAGTGCATGAAATCCATCATGTTTCAAGTGATTTTCATTTTGAAAAAAATCTTACTCTTTGAAGCTTTCAATATAATACGAATAATACGGCACCGCAGCCTTGTCCAATTCAATTCGATCAATGCTTGCACTGTATTCAATTGAGGTACAGGGAGGCAACGAAACAATTGCATTCATTACGAAATGCATTTTCCATGGTGTTATTTATGTAACCACTGAAAAGATCTTTCTGTAGTAGGTGCCGTTCGGCATCTACGTAACACTTAATTTTTACCGGACCGCAGATTTTTGTGTCCTTGTCTCCTGCAAAATAAATTTAAACTGAGAATATCAAAGGCATTTCAAATAAAGAAACCACAAGAAATTGTACTGAAAATTAAAAATAACATAATGGGCTCGTCAAATGAACTCTGCATAGCATTTATGCCTTATGCAAGGGATAACAATAGGGCCGCCATTCTTTTCAATAAAAAAGTCTGCAAATAAAAAACTACGTTCTCTACAGATGTACAGATGCGAAGTATCTGCAAAGAACGTATTTTGTTATTTACAGATTTTCTTACTGCAAAGAATGGCAGCCATAACAACAGGGGGATTATATGTCGAATCTACGAATGAATACCTCTCTTTCTTACTTGGCATATTAAATTTCACACAACCGCAAATGCGTAGAGTAAAATTAGCCAGACACTCCCGTTCACAGTTGAAATGCGTATAAGTGTGATAAAACTTCAATGTGCGCTCTGACGCAAAAAAACACTTTCGGCTACTCGGTTTATAACCTAAAAAGGTGAGAAAAAAAATATCAATTAAATTGATGTGATATGCATCGTAATGATAATTAACTGCGCAATCCATCAGATGTGGTAACCAATCGAGGCTTTATGCTTAGTTCAGTATCACTCATATGAGGCAGACGATATGAATCTGACATCGTTTTCGGCTCGTTACCGGGAATACTCAAAATGACTTTGAATCCCTGATCGCATCCCTGACAATTGTACTCGTTATCTTCTAAATCGGAATTTAGAAAAATTTTAAATGACGCCTTTTTCCCAAAATCATATAATCGAATCGGATATGGTGCTGGTTTTACTTCTGGCTTGTTACCCATTTCCAAGCTCCATTGTCGAACGATAAAATTCGTTTCCACAATCTTCATTTCCTTAGCCATTCTGGAAATGAGTAAACAATATTTTTGTTTCAATTTAGCCTGAAAAAAAAGAAGAAGAACGAAATTCACTTACGCTTCGGTGTACATTTCGTCGGCTCGCTATAATAAGTGCCCGGACGGACGCGAAATTCAGCGGACGGACGCGAAATTCAACGGACGGACGTGAAATTGTTTTTTTCCAGTGATATAATAAGTGCCCGGACGGACAAATGTCTTTTGTCCGTCCGTTGGTTGTATGTCGAATTTTTTTATATACTTTTACTACGCCAACGGACGGACAGTTTTTTCACTGATATAATAAGTTCCCGGACGGACAAATGTCTTTTGTCCGTCCGTTGGTTGTATATCGAATTTTTTTTATATACTTTTACTACGCCAACGGACGGACACATTGGAACCATGCATGTCTGCGAGCGCTCCCAGCGAGAGAGCTGGCTCATTTACGCGGTGTTTACATAGGAAGAAACGTCAAAATATTTTCACTTTTTTTAAATGTTAGCTGTCAACATTCTGAGATTTCATTGTATTGCAACGCCACTCAAATGAGCTGAACGTTCACATATTGAGGAAATGAAGATGCTCGGGGACATGCTTGAAAGGAACTATATATTTTTTTATAGCATATGTTTCCTCGGACGGACGGACGACTATTTCTCTAATGAGATGATAAAGCCAATTCTTCTCCCGATACCCAGACTGAAAAATTTAGTGGTCAAATGAAAAATTTCTTTATATCGACTAGTTGAAAAAACTAGTTATGTTTGCTTTTATTTAGAAAATTGTACTTTCGGAACACTTGTTCATTACTACTAATTCTATAATTAGAAAATTGAATGATCGTATTTCGCAGACTATTTTCTACACTACACTCGCGAAATTCCAAGGAGACGAGTCATACATATTTCGAACATTTTTCCATTTTACATCATTGTGTTATCATTATCGTTCGACGTTTCGAACGAGTGATTGGCTGTATTGATGTTTCAACAAAACAACAGTGAATGGATGG